ATAAAATTGTGAAGGATATGTGGTTCTTGCCCTCAAGCATCACCCAGCAAAGAGACAGGTGGGTCTGGGACTCAGCTTCAACTTCTCGGGGCAGTGGTAAAGAACCCTGCATTGAGCTGGCCACCATCCATGCCCTTGTCACTAATTTCTTCAGAGCTCGGTGCTTCATAGCCAGTCTGAGCCCCGTTCTTTGCTCAGGGATAAAGCACAAAAAGAGATAGTTGGGAGATGTCCCTTGAGCCAAACTACCCAAGAAGTCAGGACCAAGAGGGGAATCCCAGCTCAGAACCTGAGAAGCAGGGACGTTGATTCAGGGGGAGGAGAAAGAGGAGCAAGGAATGTGACTGTGTGTCTCTGTTCACACGCAGGGGCACTAGCAGACTAGGACGAGGCTTAAAGTAAAATCTGTCTCGAAAGATCTCGTTGCATCTTCACGCATGAGTTTCACATAAAATCCACATATATGACTCTCCTGTTTTCATTTAAACAATCTGGAATTTTAAAGACAAAAATTCTAATTTCTCTAAATAGAAAGGAGTTGAAAGAGCCGACATATGCTTGTCTTCAATGTTATTCAAAATAAAAACTGAAGTCAGAGTTCTCAACCATAGTAGGTGACAGGTCAGAGCGGTGCATATGCTGTAAGAATCCCAGTGCCCCACTTAACACAGTCTTGGGCTTTGAAATGAGAGAGACCTGGCTTCCATTTCACTCTGGTAGAGCAATCACAGCTCAAACGTCGTTTCCATCCTGCAGGGCCACTTGGGGATTAAAGGTCTTTTACATAATGCACTTACCTCACCATAAATGCTCAATAAACGATATTGCTCATGATTTTAATATTATATTACAAGGCACTCAAGTTTAGGAATTCTGCAAATTCCCATGTGACTCCCATTTCAACCTTCGTGGTCCCAACTATTCAATGTATTTAACCTAATTCCCCCAAAGCAGTGCCAGTGCACATGCTTTCCCCTCATACTTAGAGGACACTGACCAGTCACCTCTTCATAGGTGAGGACTTTCACTTCAGCTTTTTTCCCTCCCCAAATCTGAATCATTAGCATTTAGAATGATGGGAAAGGCACACTTCAGTTAGGTCTTTTGGATTCCCTGCATCTAGTATGATCAATATTTTTTCTTTAAAAGTCTGAACTTTTTAAACGAAAAAAAAAAGGGCAGTCATGGGTGCAGGTTTTATGTCAAGTGACTGTCAGGCTCCCACAGAGAAGAACGGAGGGTGGCAGGTTGTTTACACACCAGGAGTTTTCCATCTTGGGGCTTCCTAGCTGCATTTCATAGGGAATCACATCCCAGTCTTGTTGTTTATAAAGAGATGCTTGCCTGCCACCTGGTCCTGTATCTCTGCTGAAATGAGTAACAGAGGCCATGAGAAATTCAGGGAAAAACTGTGCTTCAAATTTTTTTCCCTTGTAAATTTAATTTTAGAAATTAATGAGCTCTGCTGATACATTTTCCTAAGTAAGTTAGTGAAAACTTATGTAATCCTGTGTAGCTAGCTCAGCGATTCGGAGCTCTGACCTAACAGGCCATCTGTCCTCCCCTGCCACGTGCTCGCTGGTACCGGCCTCCAGTGATCCTTCGGGGGCTTCTCAGTACAACAGGACACCTAGCTTGAGTTGCGAGTTGGTGAGGAGGGAGATGAGTTTCTCACTGGGGGAGTGGGAGTTAGGGGGCAACGGTCACATGGGGAATAGTGCCTTCCGAAGCGTCCCTGCGCCCTGCTGTGAGGTAGGTGTCGCAAGGGCGGCTGGAAGTCCTGTTTTTGTTTGTTTATTTGTTTCTGAAGAAATGATTCGATGTGAAGGTTCCAGGCAACTGATTAATAAAAATTGTTCTGAAGTCCAGGAATGGTGGAAACTTCTGTAAGAAGGACCCTGCTGTTGGGTGAACTGGATGCCCTACTTAACTGCATCATTTTAGTACAAAGGAGTCGTGGTTCTGCTGACTGAGTGGGAGTCATTTTCCAGAAGATTCCTAAGGCTCTTCCGCTAAAATGGAGACTGTTGCTGTAGCTGCTGGTGCTTTGGAGGCTGATGGGTACCAGGAGCTGGCAGCCAGGCTACTTCACAGCCTAACTGGACCACAGCTCTGAAGACCTGCCTGCAACTCGCCTGCTCATGCTCTGAGCATCTACGCCACCTGCTGTGTTACTTTGTTTAACCCTCGTGACAACCCTGTGGCCTATTATCATCCTGGAGGAGAAGTGATTTATCCGAGGTCAGACGTTCAGTGCGTAGGGGATCTAGACTCTGACTCTAGGATGTCTACTAAAAAAGAACACTGATCTGGGATCATATTTATTTGGGAGTAAACATAGTTGTTTTTTTTTAAACTACCCCATACCAAGGACAACCACTTATAAAATCCATAAGTGAACTGACTGGTTCTTGAGGCTCAAGATCAGATTAAAATAACAGCAACCCAATACTGAGTGTTAAAAGGGGGAGTGGGAACATTAAAAACACAAGCTGACTAGAGATGCTTCCACTTTTCAAGGAGAGTATGGCGTAATTCATATCAGAAGAAAAATAAATCTTTACATTACTGTCTCCCACCTAGTGTAGAGGGTCTATTGTCAGTAGAGCACATTGTGAGGCTTAAATCTTCAAAGGACAAAAGAGGACTCTGCTGGTAGGACGTGAGAAAGGCCTATCTGTCAGATGAATATGTGGCATGAGCAGTCTCTGTCTTTTTAGGTTTAGGAAATAAAAAGAGAGAAGAAGAAGAGGAAGAAGAAGAGGAAGAGGAGGAGGAGGAGGAAGGGGAGGGGAGGGGAAGGGAGGGGAGGGGTGGGGAAAGAAGAGAGCTGACTAATACATCCACAGCCTAGAGCTCATTTTGTGTAAAGGGCCAAGAAACATTTTTAAAATGGAAGACCAATAATCAGTTCCAGCTTTTTGCACTTCTGTAGCACAAACCACATTTGTATCCTAAATCTTCGTAAAATCTGCTAAACCCAAAATATCTTGGGGGAGTAATTTTTGGCGGAAACAAGGAAAGGGCCGATCTCCATGTCTGCACTGGCAAAAGAGAAGAGAAAGGGAAAGCTGCAAGAGGCCAGATGCTGGTGAGCCCCAGAGCCCTGCAGGAGCGGGAGGTCACAGCCAGCAATGACCCGTGACCGGGACGGCAGACACCATCGGGTTTACAGGGCAGCATCACAGTGAAGGGAAAGGATGGCAGAGTTTTGGTCACCGCTCAGTCCCCTTCCATTTGCTTAATCAAACTTATTAAAACATTTTTGAGGATTGAGATGCGTCTATACATATAACAAGGAAAAAAAATTCTGTTGGGTGGGCTCTTTTATTAGAAAGTTGAAATAAGACCCAAAGGAGAGTTGGTCTTTTTTTTTTTTAACATTGCATTATTTTATTTTTAAAAAGTTTTAAAATATATTAATTAAATTTAGGAACTAATCAAGTCATTGGTTGCATGTAATATAGAATTACTATTATAATAAAGTGCTCCATGAAATTTGAACTCTACACTAAAGTGTGGGCCAAGCTCTAAGACCCCTAGCCATCAGAAACCATCTTTGTAACAACCGCCTGAGTGACCAAGGTTTTTGGAGTGTCTATGAAATACCCTCCTTAAAGGAAATGGAAAAGAATCAATAGGTGGGAGAATAGAAAAGATGCTGTCACATCCTGTGTCTCCCACATCTACCCACATATCCAGATTACCAAAAAGTGCTGAATTCATGTCCCTATGAGATTCTGCCCCTGAAAGTTTCTACATGTCTAGAGAAGAGGGAAAGACACAGCAGTCTACCTGACAAAGAAGGGGATGTTGCCAGTCCAGCCGCGATTCAGCTGCCAGATCACTTCTGGTCAAATGGAGCCCAGGACAGAGTGCGACGTGCCTGTCGGTGACAGTAAACCCCAGGGGATTCTGCCTTCCTGGACCCCTCGATGGGGGAAAGGGCATGAATCTCCCAGCAGGGTTTTGGCATAGGTTAGGATACCTCTGCTAACCCGTCCTACTATGATGTGGTCCAGATGCTTTGAAACTGTTAACCCTTTGAAAATGTAGACACTTTTACCTTTGTTTTTGTCTCTAGAACTTCTCTTATTCGCTGGCATATGACAGCCCTCAATGACTGTTTGTTTTATAACAAGAGTAGGCATTTATTGATAGTTTATTGTGTGGTGTTACATGCT